GTTTTCTAATGCAACCAGACATCTTAAAATATTACAAAAGGTTTATTTAATCTCTGCTGAAACTTTTAACATTTTAATGGCTTTTGACTTGTCCAGTTGCCCATTGGTAACAAAGAAAAGCAATTCTGCCACCTGGTGGCTTACAAAGGTAACATGTTTAAAAAAAATAAAGGAAGATGGAAAAAATTGAGGTAAATTTAGCTTAAAATTAGATCAGGATTCATAAAAGTTTTTTTGTTTGTTTTAAGTTGGATGTTATTGACTTTTTAAAGAACGGCCCTCTTTCAATGTTATAATTTAAACCCATTATTGGAAATTAATGCACCCAACCCTCTACTTACAGCTTCTTTATTTCGTGCAAGTTTAAGAAATACAGGTCAGAGAATTAGATTAAGTAACGTCTGTTTATTTTATTAAATAAAGTAATATTTACACAAAATGTACAATTCATATCATGTATTTTGCTTTTTTTTTTTTACTTGGACAGTTTACATTAAGTTAATGTGGAAAAATCAGGATATGTTTATAATATGTGTGTTATTTTCTTTTTATTGCTAAATCGTTTCTCTATTTTAATGTAAAAGGTAATTGTATTACAAATATTAAATCATCTTGTTTTTGTGATCAATCTAAACATTTTTATAAAGATGTGCATTGTTGTTTAATTAAAAGTAGACCATATTATTCATCTTTGACTGAAAAAACCTCAGGAGGACCTTTCTTGAAGACAGCTTCCAGTTTCTGACATATTTCATTTCTCGCTTTTAGGAGCAAAATCTTTAAGGTTTGTGTTTTTTAGAGATTTTTAAAGGTTTCTTACATATTTACCCTTTTTTAAGTCATCCTACTGTATCTCATTACGATCAGGATCTGCTGGATTTAGTATACGTGGTATTGTTGTGATGTTAGATGGATCCGTTCTGCTTCAGCTTCCCTGTAATCACTGTTTTATTTCCACAGACTATCCATCCTTTGTTTATAGTCGATTCTACTTTGAGTTGCAGGAGGCCGGTACCTTCTTGCTGAAAGACAATAGTTCCAGTAACTGCCCCACCATGCAGCCTGCATATTAACCTCCAAACTGTTAAACCTGTAGCTTTATGCTTCAGAATTAGCTTTAAATTTAAATTCAATTTCAATTTGCAAAGATCTGTTAAGTTTAAATACTCTAGTCTAAACGGACTTATCTGTTCACAGATTTTGCCATCCAGAAGTAGGAAAACCTTTATTTTAGAGACACCGTTTAGCATTTTGTGGTCTGTTTCTTTAACAGTTGTTTAAAAACTCCTCCACTTATACACCGTCTTTTGTTTCGTAGAGTAAGTATGTGGTATTGATTTGCATTATTTTCTTTCTAAATCCCTCATAAGACTGATAAACTGCATTGATAGTCTTTTTTAAATCCTTTTTTGATCTCACTTTATGAATAAGGACGCTAACCATAAAAAAGAAGTATGATTTTATCTATTCTAATACTCATCTGAATTTAAACTTTGTTCTTCATGTTTTCAAAGCATGCCTTTAATATAATTTCTGAATATGTAAAAAAAAAAAACACACCCACTGTCTGTTTTAGAGAGTTAATAGATTCATTTACAGATTTTTATGTATTCAAGCAAAGTTTTTCATAAAAATGCTGAAGTGACCGGTGGACATGCTGATTTGGAAGATACGTTGATAACGTAGCATATTTAAAAGCATGTCTTTTAAAGGAAAAGTGCCAAAATGTTTTGATGCAGATGCCTTCAGGCATTTAAAATAGATCCTATTACACTAATGTGACCCACAGGTCTCTTTCTGTGTGAAGGACCTGAGTGTTTACAGTCTGCTGCACAGCTTAATTTCAAGTATTAGTGCTGAAGCTGTTTGACAGCTCTGTTGGTTTCCAGGCTTTGGCTCGGTCCCGTTTCCTGGATGCCTGTGTGATTCTTTCTCGACCTCTCTCTCTGAGGAGGTAAATTTAGTCCTGACGCTGGCCTGTTAAAATGAGTCCACTGACGCTGTTAGAGGGGTGGCAATGTGAAGGAGGACTGAGAACACATACGAACTAAAAGTCCACAGAGGGGGGGACACCTCTCAAGTAGAGTGAAGATGGCAAGCTTGTTGGCAAATAAAGACAGCTTTAAGGTGACTATCCCACAGGTATGTGACACATTCTTTAAAATAACAATGACTACAGAGAGAATTTAAACTTTTTTTTTTATCCACTGGACTTGTGCTCTGAGGGGACACTGTCCTCCCGGTTATAATAAAGAAGGATGTCTAAAGAGAAGCTGACTTCCCTTTTCTGGTTCTTGAAAACTTTTCACCTTTAATTTTCCAGGCTTCCTCAGGTCCTGCAGGCTGACGTGGAGATCAGGTACAGAAATCTCCTCAACAACTAACAGATTAACTTTTCTTTTAGTTTAAGGAATTCTGGGAATTTGGAAAAGCCATTTGAATAAATCATCTGCAAAGACAAACATTTATAATTTAAGATCCATACTAACTCTGGAATAACAGAAACACATATAAAGGAGGAATTTCCCCTAAATTACAAACGATAAGCAAGATATTTCTGAATCCTGCTGCACAATGTCTACATGCACAGCGGCTTATTTACGTTTCTTTTTACTTTGAGTTATAATTGGTTGTTTCACAGGTAGACGCCTCATTTTCACACCTATTAAAAGCTTTCATAGAAGCAGTTTAAAGTAAGGACATAAAAAAATGAACCGAGATTTGATGTACTCGATATTTAAATTTTGCACTTTATCAATTTAATAATTTAGAAAGTAAATGCAATATCAGTCTCTAACAAAGAAAAAGTTGATATAACTCTGTGATGCAATCAGTCTAAGTAGGAATAATCATACTTATATTTGTAAATTAAAATAAAACAGTATGTACATTCTTCTTTCCAGCACTAAAGAGCTGTTATGGTTATTTATTTGTTTGTTTGTTTGTTTTTTTATGGGGGGGGGGGGGGGGGGGGGGGGGTTCAGCTTTTAACCTCCTATAGAAATCTAAAACTATTCTCCCAAGTTGGTAAGGGTTTATACTATGTTTCTCTTTTTATGCGACATGCCTTTCAAACTTGTTTTCATTTTGTCTTTTTACGACCACAAACTTTAATGTGGTTATGATCCATTGCTTTTTATGACGTTAAGTTCTGATTTGTTTCTTGCTAAGATCAGTCAGACTGGAAGCCAAATGGATTTAGTTTCAGGTTTTGACTGAGCCATTCTAACACGTGTTCATCTACACTAAGGTTGTGTTTTACCTGTGGGCAAAACACTGGAAAAACAATCTAGAAATAAGTAAAAAGTTCTTAAATGAAGTGTATTTACCCTTAATTTGAGTAGGAAAATGAGATGATTTGCCAATGGAATGAGTATTTTTACCCTTAAAATTAGATATTTAGATAAAATGCGCTTGAAGTAAGACAATGCAATTGTGTTTTCTTATTATAAGTGTAAATTGTCTTGTTCAATTGGCAAAATGTCTCTTTTACCTCAACAATTCAAGAACAAATTCACCTATTTTAAGAAAAATCTTATCTAGATTTCGATTTTTTCAAGTGTATCTATACCCTCCTAATAATACATACTGAAGAAATAAAATCAATTAAATGTAACCAGATTTCCTTTTTATTTGCAGCATGTTCCCGCATAATGTTTATTTTGTGTCCATTTTCTATGATTTGATTTGCAGTTAGTGTTTGTGTGTTTTGTAGCTTGCATCATCCATGTTTGCAGTGAGCTTTGGAGCAGCAGGTTTGCATATTTTCCTAATACAGACTCACTGCTTGTACGTTTGGGTGCCACTGATGAAGGACAGAAATGCCACATTAGAATAGCTTTACTTCAGGATGGTAGCAATAGTCACTGTAATTGGTCATAAGAGAGGATAAATATCCATGTATATGTGATAATATCTTTTAAAATGATTACTGGAGGTCTGATTTTTTTTTACACCTGGCGCTATAGCAGGTGTGTGAACTCTTTAGAGTCACTTTTATCGTTTTATATTCTGCTGCTGTGTGTGGCTTCATTTATTTTGCTTTGGAAGATTAAAGTGTGAACAAGAAGCCAAAATCTGTTACCATAGAGGAATGTTTTTGAACCTTTCACCACTTGCAGCCCACCCTCCCTGACCTCATCAATATACGCAGGCTAAAGCTCTACTCCCACACATCCACACTCGGACTGGGTCATCGGTTGGACTGTTGACGTCATTCCCAGCTGTTGCTCTGTCCAAAAGTCCCTGTCTAAACTTCTAGGTATAGTCCTCATAATTTCATATGTATTCATTTTTTTTTCTGGGAAGAACCACAGATTGAAGGGGTAGGGTTTACATTCTTCTCGTGCATCTCACTTCTCATTCTTTGTTATTTTCTTTCTCTTCTGCTTCCCAAAGTCTTTCTTCCAAATGTGGAATGCCTTGGCTTTAATGAGGCCATACCTCTGCTTACAAATGATGACAAAGAACCAGACGTATTACGGTAATACCACCAGACTGGAGCCAAAACTGCTTTCTTGTTTTTACAGGAAAAGCTTCTCGATAGCTGCTACTCTGGGATAAATAAAATCAAAGCGAGCTTCAACGATTTTTATTCAGGATACACATTAGAAGTTGCAATGGATAAACTCCAGAGGAAACAGAGGGTAAGACAAGCAGCTGTAGATGGATGCTAAACTATCAGCAGGGTCCTAAACAGGGTAAAGAATGTAGGATGTTCTTGCAACATTCATGCAAGAATGTGGGTTTAAAGCCGTTTGATCTCTGTTATTTATTAGAGCAGTTTAAGTTTTAAAATGTCCAGCAGGGGGGAAATTCTGATTCCACAGTCCTTCTCTTATCTCCATGTGCTGTTTATTTTTTTGCCTGGAATTACTCAGTTTTCAGGTGCAAAGTTACATCACTTTCATCTGGAAATGATTTTCAAAGTGATGTTTCGTCTGCGAACATGTTCTGTCATGTTCCTGTGTAGTCTGGCCTGATGCCAGTTTGGATCCTTGAATGGTTTTGGTGCAACAAAAGTAAAAAAAAAAAAAATGAGAAGAGGGAGGTTCTGAAGGAGACAAAAGGAGAGCATTTCTCTGTAACCACAGGGTTCATATGGCGCGTTTATGCCTCTCTTCATGTCTCAGTCCTCCAGGCCTTGATAATGAGCGCAGTGGCTCTGCTGTGTCTTTACAGAGCCAAGAACTTCGCTCGTCTGGGATGTCTGTGGGGGATGTGACGGTGCTCCCATCCGGCTCCCTGAGCCAGGGGCAGCGTTCGCTGACAAGGCTCTACTGTCAGAATGGAGGGCATCACCTGAGGATTTTGTCCGATGGGACGGTGAATGGTGGGAGGCAGGAAAATGACACTTATGGTAAGAAAGAAACACATACAGATTTTTGTTTGTTTTTTTTATATAAAAGAGCAGAATTTCAGAATTTAAAACCAGATAGCTTAATTTGAATATTTGATTTCTACTTGTAATTTCCAAAACTTTTGATGGACAAAATCTAAACTTTTATTAAGTAAACGAATAACACAATAAAGCCCTAAAAGTTTTAAAACTTCTGGTTATAACATCTCAGCCTACTATGTGGAGCTTATGCTGCACTTAGAACAAACATTACCAGGCATTTTGAGAAAGTACCTAAAGTTACATGTGAGCTCTGGGAAAGAAACATGTAGGTTAAGTAAACAGGCCTGTATACTATGTAAATAATCTGAATCCTCTGACAGGAGTATATATCAGTCCCTGTAAAAAAAACAAAAAACTCTAACTTCTGTGGCAAATCTGGAGAACCACCTGTAAGTTTCATTTACATTTTTGAATGTAACCTAATTCCAATAAAATCATCTCTTAAGCTGAGATCAAATAAAAAAACTCAGAAAGCAATCTACATTCTGGAAAGTTGCCAGTGAAAGTACTGTGTAGGTTCAAAGTAGTCACAGAAATATCTCACTCAAATTTGAAGATTCATGAAAAATTATTACAATATTAATAACAAATTGGCACTATAACTGCAATAACTTGTGCATTAACTAATGTGCAATAACCCAGTTAATACCCAGTGCAATTTATATATATATACATATATATATATATATATATATATATATATATATATATATATATATATATAGAGCACATTTTCTTCCTTCCTCTTGATTATTGAGCCTATGTGAGCAGTTAATTTCTCCACTGTGAGATCAGTAAAGTCAGTCAACTAATCAAATTCCCATTTAACTTTTTTAAAAACTATTTTAACATGAACCTTTTAAATAAACTTGATCCATATTTATTTCTAAAATAAAATTATTATGCAATTCAAACAAATAAACATTATGTATATAGATAAATACAACCATTTATATCAATTTTGAGCTAGTTTATTATTTCTATAGGCACAAACCTGATGGATTTGCATCATGGTAGGTTTATTGGATACATTTGTGTAGAAATTATCAAGAATAAGTGATTGGGAATTTGTTATGTAATAAAATTACATACATCTTAAAATTTGGGTGAAATATATTTGTAAGTGAAGAGTATGTTTTTTCTTCTTTTTTTTAAGCAAAAGCCAGTGAAGATAAGCTATATGTTTCAACAAAGTAGCTCAAAAGTTGTGGGAAAGTTAACTGTAATTTCCAGAATGATAACCAGTAATGTGGAGTAAGCTCTGTTAAACTGAGCTTTAAGTTAGATAAAATCTACTTGTAAACTACATAAAGACCCTGAAATGTTCTGTGAAATCAACCTGTAGGCTTCTGGGAAGTAGCCTTTCTTCCAAGGCAGTCAATGTACAATTTCTAAGGAAGTTTAGGAAAACAACTGAAAGCTTATCTGCATAATCTGGGAAAAGTAAACTTTAAAACGTGTTATTACTGGAAATTATTTCTTGAGCAACTTCCTGTGCAAGCTTTATAAATCACCTATTCCAGTAAGGCTGCTTAGTAATGGGAGATTTTGCATCACATTTTACATTCTGAACCTGCTGCTTATCCATGAAATCAGCTGAGTAAAAGATTGTTTTTGGACAAAAAACTGTTATATTTTGTAGGTGGCCTCTTTATTTTGGGCTTGAAACGGTAACAGAAAATCACGTCAAAGTGTAATGTTGCATGTGTTGCAGAAATCCTGAGACTGAAGGCGGTGAGAGTGGGAGTGGTGGTGATCAAAGGGGAGATGACAGGAAGGTATCTGGCCATGAACAAAAACGGAAACCTTTATGGATCAGTGAGTTCCTTATTCTCTATTGTTAACTTATAAAAACATTATTAAACAAAAAACTTGTTTATATTTCTAAAACTAAATCCGATAATGACTTTAAATCACATTGATATAAAGCTGTCTTAGTGTTTTCATTGGTGTCAACTTTTAGAGGAATTTACAACAGATTCAAAGAATCCAACAGCTTCTAAATGTCCATTCCTTTTTTTTCTCAGCAAGCACTAAATGATGAGTGCTACTTTTTGGAAAAATATGAAGAGAACAACTACAACACATACTGCTCCCAGAAATACAGCTGGTATGTTGCTTTAAAGAGGAACGGCCAGCCTAAAAGAGGACCGGACACCCACCAGGGTCAGAAGGCCATTTGCTTCCTGCCCAGACCCACAGGCAGCGGGTAAACAGAGAAGAACCACGGAAAAGCACCCAGCTAATCTGAGAATAGTACACCTGGTAGACTAAGCTGCGCTGGACTGAGTATCGTAAACATGACTTTGACAGAGCTTTTGCTATAAAGACCTGATAAAGTTGTTTGAACTGTCCGCTCAGCCTAACGACCCAAATATTTATTCCTCCACTGCAACGGACGGAAAAAATATTTTCTATATAAACTTAAGAGCTGATATCAGAAACATTCTCCGGTTTATGAGCACAAAGACTCCCTTTTTGACTTTGGCCAACAGTGTTATCAGGCTGCAGTGCATGTCTCCACAGCAAAACAAGAATCCACTGTGAGCTCCCTGGCTTGAAACTAAAATCCTAGAGGAGAGAAATGTGCAGCTTGCTCTAAAATAAATTATTTAAAAAATAATTTAAATACTTCTTGGAGTCCTTATACATTCTGTCTAAGCATTCGGTCCGAGCTTTTGGAATAGAAAACAGACCCATAGTTAACAGAAAGCCTCTGTTTAATGCATACGCATCATTTGACGCCAAGGTCAGAAATCCAACCTCTGAGGGCTGCATTTAGGATAATAACTTTTATAAAAGAGGTGCGGGCAAAGCTGCTGGTCCAAATGTGGCCTGATAATGTAAAAAATGTTTTACTGTGACAAAAAGGAAAAAGACTAACCTAATTTGAAAGGTGACAAAATAACAATATGTACTGTTTGATACATAGTAACAGGACAGTCTGCATGTTGGAAATGAAAATGACAACAAATGCATCTAATGGAGTATTTGGGTAAAAAAAACACGCTGCCAAAAACTGAAATCTAAATAAGTAATTTTTTCTTAAAATAAATCCATTTTTTCTTGAATTGAGGAGGTGAGTTTGACACTTTGCCAATGGAAGCACACATTTTACATTTAAAAGAAGTATCTTTTTATTTCAAGTGCATATTATCTAATTATCTTATTTTAAGAATAAAAATACTCATTCATTTTTGCAGATCGTCTGATCTACCGTATTTTCACAACCATAAGGCGCACCGTACTAAAAGGCGCAGTCTCAGTTATGTGTCCCATTTCTGTATTTAACACACACATAAGGCGCACCGGACTATAGGGCGCATTTTTTATATACAGGTACATGTCCTCTACTACCTTTAAATAGCTCTACTGCGTATTTTAAAAATACAGCGGGCCCAAAACTGAGTATGACTGTGCTTTATTCATGTATTTATTACAAAGTATTAATCAAACCTGCGAGCTGGCCATGAGACAGACACATCGCAGATGACACAGCGCTGTGATTACTCCTAAATTAACTTAAAATCCTGAAACCTGCCGACGGAATATGTTCGCTTTTATTGCCGGTATCCTGGTGCCTGCAGTGTAAATTATTTAGATGAAAAACACCTGCCAGCCGCCGCGGTGAGGCTGCTGTTGAAGGGATTTCTGCTGTCGGTGCACCGCTGGTATGTGGGGGTCTGAGCGCCTCCGACAGAAATAGATAATCTGGATGAACTGACTGCAATTAAGTTTTCAGGTGGCCTTTCTCACTTAAAAACATATTAAAACTACTTTATTCCCACTGATCACAGCAAATATAGCTGCAAGATTTAGATTATTTAGATGAAAAAACACCTGCCAGCCACCACGGTATACGCGGAGGAGACCCGCCCAGAGGCTGCTATTGAATTAAGTTTTCAGGTAGAAAAATAGAGCGGGAGCAAAACTGAGTATGAGTGTGCTTTATTCATGTATTTATTACAAAGTATTAATCAAACCCATCAAAGTCATCATCCTCTGTTTCTGAATTAAACAGCTGCGCTAAATCAGACATGACAGTTTCCCATTCTTCGCTGTCAGAGTCACTTTCCGTGCAGCGCAGCTCCTCAGAAATAATGCCGGCTTTTGCGAAAGCTTGAACAACAGAGCCAGCAGACACGTTAGTCCAAGCATCTACAATCCATCCGCAAACGGTGGCGTAATCTGCCCGGCGCTGCCTTCCACTTATCCTGAAACTGTGGTCTCAGTCTGTCATCCATCGCTCCCACGCCGCTCGTAGCCTTATTTTGAACGGCCGCTTCACACCGATGTCGAGCGGTTGAAGTTCCTTTGTCAGACCCCCGGGATAACGGCGAGCACAGCGTTCATTTGATTCACCTTTTTTTTTCACATCGGCTGTGAGATGGGCACGCAGCGATGGTGATGCGTGGAAAAAACCACCTGTTCCCTCACATACACCTGCCTTTCATCATCTCCTCACCCATCCAGCCCGTTTCATTTGCGTTAATATCATATGTCATCAGAGCGCTGTGTCTGTCTCGCTGTCAGCTCCCAGATCAGCTTCTCTGATTGGTTGATGCGGCGCGTCCAGCAGCAAAACTTAAATTTTTCCATCTCGAGCAGCAGCAGCGCGTTGGCGGTGCGTCAGATGCTTAAACGCTCCCGACGTGCTGCACCTGCAGCTCAAAACGCGCTGCGGGACCTTTTGCTGCGCCTATACGCGCGTCAACCATTGACTTTGCATGTAAACTCGCTGCTTCTGCTGCACCTGCTGGGTCCGGTTCACACCGATGTCGAGCGGTTGAACAGCGAGCACAGCGTTAATTTGTTTCCCCATGTTTTTCACATCAGCTGTGAGATGGGCACGCATGGAGTTACATATTAACAGCGATGGTGATGAGTGGAAAAAAAACACCTGGTCTCCTTACATTCAGCCACTCTTTCATCATCTCCTCAATGAGGTGGTCTCAAAAGTCGCAGTTACAACACACATAAGGCGCACCGCACCATAGGGCGCACCGCACATTTTGAGGAAAAAAAAAGACGTTTAAGTGCGCCTTATAGTCGTGAAAATACGGTACCTGCTCAAATTAAGGGTAAATAAACTTATTTTAAGAAATGTTTGCTTATTTCTAGATGGTTTTTGGAGTGTTTGGATGTTCCTGAACTGAAGGAAAGCTGCTTCAATCTAGTTTAAAGACGATCATTATTGGAAGTTTCTCAGTAAACCTGTTTGTGTTTCCACAACATATTGTTTTGCTTGATGTTTAATATTTATGCATGGTTTCCTCCATATTGAAACGTGACTTTAATCAATCCTGAAGAAAGATATAATGTGATGTAAACAAAAGGTACTCTGGATATAGTTTTGAAGTGATAAAGTTAGACCTGTATAAACTGACTCTTAGTTACCTTTACTAAAAACTGTGAACTTGGGTTTTTATAATGACAAAGTGAACAGTGATCATGTAGCTTTTAAAGTCTCTGTTCTATTTTGTGACGTTTTTTTAAACATTAAACACAATTAAAGGAATCGGCCATCTTGTATCTTGTGATTTTTTTTTTTCAATGTGTTTAAATAGCATACAGCATTATTTTAAAACCTTCTTCTTATCAGATGTGTTGAGTTACCATAGCTTTCTACATTTCCATAACTCAAATTGAGGGTGAAAGAAAAGACCAGTCTGCAGCTGTAATTTTCATTCATTTTGAATTTATATGCTGATAAATCATGTAATGTCAAAGTTCAGTGAAGGTTTGTTGAGGACCCGAATGCAGAGATGGAAAGAAGCAGAGATGAGTTTTTGCTGATTTAATGTAGAGTATAGAGTAAAAAAAGAAAAAAAAATACAGCAGAAAACCCCAAAAAACAGGACACATCAGGGAAAACACACATGGGGAACAAGTAAGCAACAAGACACCAGCAACGAGGAACTGCAGAGGTGGTGTATATATGGGGAACAGAACAAAGGATGGGCTAATCAGCTGATAGAGAGCAGGTGTGGATAGACTTATCTAGAAGGAAGCTAGAGGAAAGGAGACTAGCACAAGGGGGCAACAGAGAGTAACTTAAAAAAATGCAACAGGGCTTAAATATAACACAAAATGGAAAAGAAACCAAAGACCAACAAAACAGAATGACAGATGTGATGCTTGCTAACCAGTCAGCTACTTAATGGCCTTTCCGGGTGCTGGAACCTAATTAGTTCAACTTTAAACTCAAATAAGGTTTGGATAAGGCTTCATTCTTGTAATGCCTACCTCACACAACGATGAGAGACAATATAATGAATGACATGCCGGCTCAGATGTCGCCTGGCCAAACAAGGTCTGCGTCAGGTGTTGGGGAACCAGAACACCTTGATGTCAAATAGGCTACTGGAACAAGACAAAGGAAATGGACGAGATGTGAGAACAGGGCTCTTTTATAAAGTTACTACCTAAGTAACCCAGACTGGAAGTGACCCCCAAACTGGAAGAGTGATTACAGCAGATCCCTGGAAATACATCAGACAGCAAAGATACTGCGCAGAACATGAGCTATATATATATATATATATATATATATATATATATATATATATATATATATATATATATATATATATATATATATATATCCATTATTTGACACGGTTTTCCCAATTGGGTCACAAGGGGAGCTGGTGCCTATCTCCAGCTGTCTATGGGCAATAGGCAGAGTTCACCCTGGACAGGTCGCCAGTCCATTGCAGGGCAACACAGACACGAACAGGACAAACAACCATTCACACACACTCACACCTAGGGAGAATCTAGAGAAGCCAATTAACCTAACAGTCATGTTTTTGGACTGTGGGAGGAAGCCGGAGTACCCGGAGAGAACCCACACATGCTCAGGGAGAACATGCAAACTCCATGCAGAAAGACCCCGGGCCAGGAATCGAACTCAGAACCTTCTTGCTGCAAGGATATATATATATATACACTATATTGCCAAAAGTATTTGCTCACCTGCCTTGACTCACATATGAGCTTAAGTGACATCCCGTTCCTAATCCATAGGGTTCAATATGACGTCGGTCCACCCTTTGCAGCTAGAACAGCTTCAACTCTTCTGGGAAGGCTGTCCACAAGGTTTAGGAGTGTGTTTATGGGAATTTTTGACCATTCTTCCAGAAGCGCATTTGTGAGGTCGCACACTGATGTTGGACGAGAAGGCCTGGCTCTCAGTCTCCGCTCTAATTCATCCCAAAGGTGTTCTATCGGGTTGAGGTCAGGACTCTGTGCAGGCCAGTCAAGTTCATCCACACCAGACTCTGTCATCCATGTCTTTATGGACCTTGCTTTGTGCACTGGTGCACAGTCATGTTGGAAGAGGAAGGGGCCAGCTCCAAACTGTTCCCACAAAGTTGGGAGCATGGAATTGTCCAAAATGTCTTGGTATGCTGAAGCATTCAGAGTTCCTTTCACTGGAACTAAGGGGCCAAGCCCAGCTCCTGAAAAACAACCCCACACCATAATCCCCCCTCCACCAAACTTTACACTTGGCACAATGCAGTCAGACAAGTACCGTTCTCCTGGCAACCGCCAAACCCAGACCCGTCCATCAGATTGCCAGATGGAGAAGCGCGATTCGTCACTCCAGAGAACGCGTCTCCACTGCTCTAGAGTCCAGTGGCGGCGTGCTTTACACCACCGCATCCGACGCTTTGCATTGCACTTGGTGATGTATGGCTTGGATGCAGCTGCTCGACCATGGAAACCCATTCCATGAAGCTCTCTGCGCACTGTTCTTGAGCTAATCTGAAGGCCACATGAAGTTTGGAGGTCTGTAGTGATTGACTCTGCAGAAAGTTGGCGACCTCTTCGCACTATGCGCGTCAGCATCCGCTGACCC